AAAAAAATAAAAAATTCGATCATGGATTACAAAAAAATCGTTCAAGTATTACAAAAAAATCTATCATGGATTACAAAAAAAAATAATAATAATAATAATAATAATAAAATAAATAAAAATAAATAAAAAAATTCCGTACGGGACTAGCCGATTCACTGTTCGGACTCGTCGATCCCGTACAGTGAATCGGCGAGTCACTGTATAGAATCGTCCAGTTCTCTCTAGAACCGGACGATTCCCGTTTTTTTCGCCGGATCGATCCGTCTATGGCGATTCCCTAGTCGAACCGGGCGAGTCCGATTCGACTCGACGTTTTTTTAAACACTGGTTCTAATGTTGAAAGACCCTCAAACTGCTCCATCTCAATCATTACCATTTTTGGAACTTTAAATTTTATAATTAGGGAAAAACAATTGATTTTCACGAGGCTTTCCAGCACCAAAAGTGCATTTTTTGACATATTTGATTTTCATGCCATCGCAAGGCTTTTCAGCACCAAAACTACATTTTTTTGACATATTTGAGGCACTCCTTTCAATAATATAAGATGTACACTTCACACAAACCTCACCCATCTTTCAAGTGCTAATCAATTAAGGAAAATGTTTACATAAGGTGCTAGCCATAAACAACCAAATTAACTAGCATTTCTAAAATGCTTGTTTTTATGTCGATAAATGCTTAAATTAATCACTAGACCTCAAGATATAAAACCTGAAAAAAATTGGATTTCTACTGCAAATATTGCATCTTGCAATACATTATTTGAGCTATCAATTTTCAATATTTTGAAATGTTTATAGATCTATTTGAATAAAATTATTTTCGAAACTTTAAATTTTATAATTAAAAATGAAAATAAATTCTCATTGCTATCATATCGCAAAGATTTTTACTACTGAAGCATCATCTTTTAGCGCTATTTAGAGGCACGCCTTACTTTCTTTGTTTAGAGCCTCAACTATACACAAACCACACCCCTCAATTAATTCCAATCAAATATGTATTAAGTGAATTATTCGAAGTTAACGAATCCAAGCTCAATTTTTTTCTTGCGTATGAGAGAGAGAGAAAGGGAGAGGCTATTATTTAAATAAAGAAATAGGTTTTTTTTTTTTCTAATATAATAAACTATGAGAAGACTAACAAGTCGACTATCATTGCAATTGCTATTACAACACTTATTCTCGGGTCGCCTCTCTTATCTCTCCGCAGCTGAACTAAGCTTCCCTCTTCATGTTTCTCAACTAAACTGACAAAACCAGTCGATCCAAAGATCAACGAGCTACTCGTAAAAGATTTGGGTTAAAGCCCAAGTAGATATACACTGCCAATATGGCAGGCCTTTATCCACCAGCTCAAAGGCTTCTCTCATTTTGATAATATTTACATCACTCAGGCATCAGAGCTTTTTGCTCAGACGCTTCTTTGCAGAACTCATATGTCAATTGCCATGGCCTGAGCTTTGGGAGAAAGAATACAACTCTTGCCACACTGTGATTTCAACAGCAGAGATTGAAAGGGGCTAATAATTTTACGTAGCCAGCACCCCATCTTGGTTGGTTAAGCGAGAAATGGGGAGGTCTGCAATGTCAGTTGAAGAAATAAGGTGAATCCAATACCTCTTTGAGATCAAAGTCGCCTCTAGCTGGCAAAGGTGGAAAACTGAGCTTTGGGAACAACTCTTGGAAGTTCCTGAGCAACTGCACAAAGCACAGCAGCAAGCACATCTTCATGATCATTTCCTACTGAATAAATAATACAAGCGGAAAAATCAAAATGACAGTAACAAGACAATCGCTAAACCAAAATAGAGTCAACTATATTATATGCTGAAAAGTAGAAGATAACCCAAACTGGTGTTTCTCTTGCTTTCATAAGTGGTCCAAACAATATAATTCTAATTTTTTTCTAGATCAATAAAACGCTAGAAATTGATTTCAAAGGCAAGAACAAAAGAATTGACACTCACATTTGATTTGGGCAAGGCAATCAATTACTTCAACAGTTCCAAAGAACAATAGAGCACTCCTTTTCATTGGGTTAAGTTAAAAAAGGGACATTTTTTCTCTGAGATTTTATATATAGCAAATGTGTAAAAATGATGGATGTACCTGTAGCATTTTTGAGATCAGGTACATGGGTCTTTGGTCAATTTTTATTAGATAACAGCATAACTTAAATTTCAAAAGAGAAGAAATTTGTTCAAAGAATGCAAAACTCCAAAAATATACTTACATTTTCCAGTATGGGGGTGCTGTAGAGCTCAACAAACTTCTCCCTAAGTATTCTGTTCATCTCATCCACATCACATGCATGCGTCCAATATGAATCATGCACGCCTAGAAACAGGTTTGACAGGCACAAGAAATAGTTAAAAAGAAGGCACTGCTCTTGACCTTTAGAAAGGTGAAAAACTGTTTTAAAGCATCATTTCATCAACTTAGAAGAAAAGTAAACGGAAGCTGCACTAACCAGCAAAATTCAAGCCTGCCTTCTTGCAAGCAATGGCAGTCATCATCATGTGGGAACCATCAAGGGAGTGCACAAAGTTTGGAGGGAAGGCTGTTCTTTGTCGCTTAACCATGACCTAAATAGCAAACAAACAAGACTCAGGTTCTCAACATTCACTTGAGGCGATTGAAAGCAGAGACTTTGGCCCAGACATGCCAGGGCTCCAAGCCGGAGTCCGCAGTCCAACTCAGCCAAGTCTCTGAAAAAAATATACAGAGGGACCAAGACTCTGTGAGACTCGCCCAACTCCCAGGGGTTTTAGCAGGACGCTGAAACCCTGCTGGGTTTTTAAGGAGTCTAAGCCCAAGTCACCGCTTTTTAAGGAACTGCTTTATAGTTCACATATATATCAAGAACAGTAAAGATACTGAAAACAGAACGGTAAATCACCAAAACCAACTAAAATACTTTCAAGATTTTTGGAACACGCTACAATATTTACTAGAAAGGATATAAACATTAAGCTGATAAAGAGGTTACGTATGGAATTCATCTAAACCCCAGACCATTCATTCAGGCACACAGTGGAAAAATAATAATAATAATAATAATAATAATAATAATAATAATAATAAAAGGAAAAGGATAAAAGAAAAAAGAAATCGAGGCTGGTTCATAACTTGACCTTATCAGTTTCACATCGTAAAGCCAAGACCTGGAGAGAAGTTTTAATCTGAAACATCACATTAAAAAAAAACTTCTCATTAAGGCATTAGAAAATTATTTGAAAAAAATTACCAAGGACTAATATACCACACGTTTTGTAACTGATGTCCAAGATCAAGGAATACTTACAAGATGCCTTCCCAGTTTCCTATAAGGTTGCACTACAGGAAGCCCAAGTGGAGTAGTCCACCTTACAGTCTCATTTTCAGAAGCGATCACCTGCACAAGTTTAAACGCTGAAATTAAGGACTAAATGTAGAGCAGTACTTTTCTGTTTATTAATGAGGAAAAATACAGCAGTTCCAATGGATAAAAGCTTCAAATAGACGTACAATTGAAACCCAGTTCAGATATCATGAATTTGAATTCAATTTGGATACTTTTAACCAATTTCTAAATGATCAGGAAGAAATAAGCTTGTATATAGGTCTCTGAAAGGATAAATACAAACCACATTTGTCAAAGCTTTGGTAAAAATCAAATCCCAGTACCAAAATTTCATACAATGTTACATTAGCAACTGTCAAATCATCAGCAACATGAAAATTTAGAGTTCCACAAATTGCAACTGGCTTGCGCATGTATATTCCTTGGGTACATTGCCCAATTATCTCAAAATTGTGACAGCTGATGCAACCAAATCCCACCAAGCATGTTGACAAACATACTCAGCCTATATCAGATTCTGCAATATTATCTAAGTCCTTATATGTTAAGGTGGTTTGATTCCATATTAAGTGCATATTCAATGTTAATCTTGTATACCGTCACACTAAGTTCAGTGCCCTTCTTTCTTTTTCTTGTTTCAAGAATTCATAAATCTTAGCCTGAAACACCTACTCTCTTAAGGCATGTATATGTCAATGTTAATCTTGTATACCATCACACTAAGTTCAGTGCCCTTATTTCTTTTTGTTTGTTTCAAGAAGTCATAAATCTTAGCCTGAAACACCTATTCTCTTAAGGCATGTATATAAAATCCATTAAGTATGAGAGCACGTTAGTTTTCCAATTCAATATTTCCAACATTGATTTCTGCATAATTTTTGCTTGTTAAAATATATATTGGGAATTAATAAAATGCATGTTGAGAGCGTCCACAAAATTTATGAAAAAAGGGACATGAGAAAAAAACATGTAGAATTCATATTGCCAGGAGTCATTATCAGATAAAGCAATAACAGACATGCTACATAGTAAGTATTTGTGAATGACATGAGAAAAGGGACATGAGAAAAAAACATGTAGAATTCATATTGGCAGGAAGCATTATCAGATAAAGCAATAACAGACATGCTATATACTAAGTATTTGTGAATGACATGCAGACAACTGCTGATTGCTAATTAATTATCGGTAAAATGTTTTATGCAGGCAGGCCTGCATGCGGGCCAGCCATCTGCGCTGTCCATCTTAGTTGGATGCACTGGGTCCCTGCGATCTCCACGATCCAACTTAGTTGGACAGTGCGAGATGCAGGGACTGCATACGGGCCCTCCCGTATAAAAACTGGGCCCTTGATTGATTATTTTTTAGCAGTTGCCAAGGAAATGCAGGCAAAGAAGAATACATACAGAGTGCATGGAGGAGTAGTAGAGTCCAAAATTACATCAAGTTCAAATAAACGTAGATTTGCAAAAGTTTAATCTCTTTTAACCGGAAAAGAAAGGAATTGCAGCGAATAGCTTTGTTGAGAAAAACCATGCCGTAAATAATACAAGGAATGCATACTTTTGCACAGTCACCCAACCAGCTCATAATGCTCCTTGCAGCTTGGAACATCTCTCCTAAAGCAGTTAACGTTACCTACGCATATCAAACAGAAGTTGTCAATGCAAAGCTTCTCAAGAAAGCGAAGAGAACCAATTCCCATTATAATTCATAAATTCCAAATAGAAGTAGCTCTATTGGGTCAAAAACTAGAAGTTACATGACAAGAACATCTCAGACAGAACTCTTGGTGCTTGATAATTGAGATATCACTCCTCGATAAGCAGGATGCTTTTCTCTTATAACTCCGAAATAAAAAATGTGAAGTTATTGTACTTCATAAGAAGGTAATGGCTTACTTTGGCAGTATAACAAGATGCACTAAAGAGCTCCTTTTCATCCGTTATGGCACCTCTCTCTTTCAACCTTCTCATTATCTGGTCACGTGCACCTACATATGTCACTCCGTACACTGAAGTCATGACTGTCTGCTTCACCAATTTTCGATCCACCTGTACAATTTCCAATTAATGGTATCAATCCGTATACTTTTTTTTTTTTTGAAAAAGTTAACATTGTATTAATAGTAATGGAGTACACATGGTGATACTAGTGAACACACGCGTAAATCCTTTTAGGAGAGATAAAGTAAACCTCTGTGGTTAGTTGTAGTACACACTAACCATAGGCTTTACATGGACGGGTTGGGGTCGTATTACAAGTGTTTTGGCCTCAAATAGGTAAGCTAAGTTTTACATCAAAAGGGTAGACCAAAGAGGAATGAGGCAAAAACGGGCCGGTCGGGAAGGTCTTCCGGGCTTATGTAGCAGCTGTGGGTTGCATGCTGGCTCCCTCCTTAGCAAGGCGGTCCGCCAGTGCGTTGAGGAATAGCTAGGCGGTATCAATCCGTATATTATTATTTTATTTTCCTTCCATGGGGTCAGACTATGTACCGAAACATTCAGAGCTCATGCAAATTCAGTTTCCTTAAGGTACCTGCCACATTACTTAGGTGCATGAACCACATTTCCTATGAAGTATGAGGAGCAAGTTTAATCTTAGAAGTGGCGACAAGACCCTTCCATTATAATAAAAATTCAAGTGAAGTATACTACAATGCAAAGGGCACCGGTGCCGCACGGTTATAGTCCATTGGCTTATCACCATCCACTAAATGATGGACAGCTCTGGAGAGCACCCACCAGAACAAGAGATGATGTCAATGGATGGGTCCCACTTGTCACTTATGATTCCATTCAATTAACAATGAGCCTGATGGACTATGATCCATCAGGCACAAAGGGAAGATGAGAAGCGGTATTTTCTCACTCTAAAACTTATGAGATGAGTGTGTGCCCCATCCCTGGTTATGACACATGGGCACTCTCATTCTTATCCAATCAGATTCCTTGAAAAAAAAAAAATGACCCTGATGGACTATGATTTTTATAATTTATTGGATTATAATCTACTTCCTAAGAAGTAAGGCCCCTCAAGATAAATTTGCACTGAATGTTAACCAAGCATTATTATCCAACATTAATACACCCCATTTAGTCTAACTCTTCAGAAAAGAAATGTAAACGACAATTCAATGAAAACCTAACCCTTATATTTCACAGCAACCACCCGTTAGAAATCATTATCTGGAACACAAAAGAAGGGAACCTAGGGGCTAACCTGATTAAGCAGGAGCTTAGCACGTGCTACATTTGGGTCACTTGTAGGGTCTTTCTGTGAATCCCTTCGCATGATATCCAGAACTCTAAGAGGGCAAGCATCAAGTCCAAAAGTAAAATACGGTCACCACGAAGATCAGTAACATGCAGAACGACCAAAGATGTCGTTAAAAGATTAGAACCTACAAACAACGCATATATACACTAATGGAAAATTAAAAGTACGCAAATTTTAAGATTTGAAAAGAGAGAGAGAGAGAGAGAGAGAGAGAGAGAGAGAGAGAGAGAGAGAAGAAGAAAGAAAAAATAATAAGAAACTAAATAACGTAAGTAAAGTAAGTAACGTACTACGTAGTAGGTAACGTAAGTAAGTTAACGTAAGTAGTAGTAGTACGTCCGTT